TCATAATAATCCGTGCTGGGCAGTTTCCTCAATGGCCATTTATTTCCATCAAGTTGAAGTTACATTTATTAATATGCACTAATTTTGGGCGAAGCGTTATATTATATCGAAATCGGAATAAAACTAGAGTGCAGCTACCAACAATCTCTGAGGTTGAATGCCAAATGTCATGCTACGTAAGTATGTAAATGTACACTTCGCACTCTGTTTTTGTTGCCAATTTCGCCCAGATAGATATCAACCAACATAGCAGGTTTCGTTAGATATACACATAAATTGATGTAAAAAACGGCACGGGATTGGCAAATTAAACAGAAAATCACTCAAGAGATGTTGTTATTTTTATTTGTGTCTGTTTGATAACGTTACTTGATTAAAGTTTCTTGATGATTGCCAATTTGTGAGGGCATAATGCACAAAGTGAGCACATACATAAACACAAATTGGTTCCCTCTCTGCTGGCTACTTGTGAATGGAGAATGTCCATTTTTTGATGTAGGGTAGCAGGTATTTTTGGAACGTGTGGCACGTTATGTGCCAATAAACATAGTTGATTTTTGACCGAGAAAATATACTCGGTTTATGTATTCCTTTATATATGCACTAGAAATGATAACCATCTACTCCGTTAAATAAATACATGGGAAATGTCCCTAAAATTACAGGTTTTCCCAAGGTTCTGTCAAGTTTGTTGGTTGTTGTTGGCAGGAGCGGATGTAATGCTTGAGTTAATTGTTGGATTTCGTGAGTAAAATTTTTGGCATTTAAATCACATTCATTTATACTGGTTATTTTCCTCACTTTACAGATAAACTAGGATTTTATATAACCAATGTCATTAGAAATAAGTAAGGTGATGTTAAAAATCGCATAAACTATTTACAAATAATTACCTATTTGATTTCTTATTAAGGTTCTTATTAAGGTTGGTCAGGGCTAATGTCGCCTTACATAAATATTGCTAAAATTGTCATAAAAATATTCAATTGTTTTTCATAACGACAGGAAAATTTGATTGACTTTTGTTTGTGTATGTATATTTATTCGCCGGTGCTTGTTTGTAATCAAACCTATTAAAAAATCTAACCATTGCATTTCAAAAAACATGTCAATTTTTCGGTCTAACTTTTTCTACTTACAAATTAAGTGTCTTAATTTAAGCATTCGTCGCTAATAATAGACATTTACATATAAAAATATGGTTAGGATTATATTATGCCATAACTTTCACTATGTAATAAACTCGTCGTCCTGTTTTTTTTTACAGTGTTTTTGTCATTTATTCTCCGACATGTGTACATATTATTTAACAACAACACTTCCAAATAATTGAAGCACACACATACCACCATTCATTCTGGATTTCAAAACTTTTCCACTCTATTTCAATCATCAAGAACATTCCGAAAAACACACAAATACCTGCGTGCCGCGGTTATTAAGCGTACAGTTCATTTGTCATTATCACCTGCTCCAGATAAATTATGGAAGATGATGATACTGAAAATTCTATTCTGGGATGCAGAACTCGTTTCGCAGCAGAGCCCAGCAGAGAAAACTAGAGATGAGATAGATTTATAGTTGAGGCAAACCCCAACTGAATTCCGCAATACGACGGCCCACGCTCACTCACTCCTTAGTCGATCAAGAGGAGGAGGAGGACGACCCATCGAAGCCACACCACATTTGACGGATATTAAATTAAATTGCGTTTTATTGCCGGGGACGATGATGATGGTGTGGTTTTCAGCGTGTGTATGTGCAGTCAACAACATTATTTAATTGCATAAAAATAAAACCCAACCACAGCAGAAGAGACTGTTGGATTTAAATTTTATTACGAGTTTGACAAATCAGTATGCTTGGAGGTATGCACATATCTGCGATTCTTGGTTTTATCCAGGGGGATATATACCAAGTTTTATATGAAGTTCGGTTGGCTGGCGTTTGATTACATTTTTATTGATCCGACAGACAGAAACCATGTCACATCCATTCATCCAATCTAATTCTTATGGTCTTTCTTGTTGTATGTGTATGTTCTCGTCCTCATGTTACTTTCTTCTTTCATAACATTTCATTCTGCAGATATTTCCCCGCAGGATGGAAAAACTGACATTTCTTCCTCTTTTTGAGATAATGTCGTGGAAGAGGAGGAAGAAATGTCCTGTTTACAATGGGTTGTGTGTAGTGCCACCCTCAACCAATTACTCACCAGGCTGTATACTTGGTGGTAGATCGCCGAGTCCATCTGCAGAATGCAATTGGTGGGGTTTCAGGCCGAATGAAAGCATCAATTATCTCGATAAGCATCAAGATTGATATATATGATTGCAATTGACGGACGGACGTCAGGAGAGGAGGATTATTATTCAAGTTATTCGGTTGAGATGACGAACTCTGTGGTGTGTAAAAGTTAGACTTATTAAGAAGGGAAGGATCGATGATGATGATAGTATGGACATGCATACATACGTCCATTTGGCGTGGTTGGTGTGGTAGTGGCTGTTACGACTTATTATGACCGCCTGTCAAATAATTTTAATTTGAGAATTGTTAGAAATTGGGCGGAAATGGTTTATTAAGATGATGATAAATGTGATGAGACAATTCAGTTTTATATTTTGATAGTCAATTAATTCCAGATTTTGTAATAAGGTTTGTGGCATGCGTATCATGTATGAATACTGAATTTGTGTGCTTTTAGCACGAGTAGTAAACCACGACTGACCATTTTGGATAAAATCAAGAGCATTGAATTTCCTAAAAAATTAAAAATAGCAAATCCCCTCCATTTACTTTTTCAAACCATTAATTATCCCACTCGTAAAACGATGAATAAATGTGTTCTCTGTGTCTGCCATTAAGCACATCAGCCCCCGCGTGGGATACGTTACGTCGTTCATACATATAATGCACATTTCGTCGTTGTGGAGTAGTAGACTATACAATTAAGTATTAATGCATAATGACTACTGCAGTTGACTTTTAGTTAAATGTAGGGTTGCACTGGTGTGTGTGGCTCTCGAGGTCAAGCCAAAATTGGGGCTCAGTTACAATAATATTTAATTTTCAAAAGATTAAACATTAAATATTATTTTAACTCGATCTGTTAGTGAATTACATAATGGATAAAATGTATAATATCACCGAGTATGTATGCACTACGGAAGTTGTATTAAGCAACAAATATGCATACCCACCGTATTATTTGCATGTTATCATTCTATCTTCTCTGGGACATGAGATGGATGATGAGTGTTTGAAAACTGGAGTGAGATAAGGCGCAATCAGAGTTAGTTGTTTGTGGTCCAAGTAACTTTTCTGACTGGGAGGTCTTAATAGTTTGAAATTGTTTTATGAGACGACTCCTCTCGACAAACTTTGCTTTTCATTCTGCAAATCCGTACAAGTTCGGGATTCTATTTCATTAATGCGTTTAGTCAGTGGGTCGAGATGATGAGGTTGTGGGTGACGCGTATATATTTTCATGCAGGTTGGGTATGTACATATGCATTCTTAGGATCCAGTCCAAAATAAGGATTTTAAAGAGTATATATGTACTTACACCTATAAAAAGAAGTGCAAGAAGAAGATGGCACTAAAAAATTACTGGAATTTCAGACGTTTTTTGGTGTACAAGACCAAACATGGCTGGCTAAACATGGAAATATTGACCAAACCCAAATAAATGTGACCGAGTGTGGATGGAGTGTCTTCTCAGATACGATAAGTGGGTGACATATGAGATAAATACGTAAGAATCCCGATGATGTGGGATCATTTCAATTTGTAACGCTCAAAATGATAAAATACGCGTTGAGAAGTGGGAGTTATTTTTATACGGAAATTCAAAATTTCTATTATCTGAAACTTATTTATTTCTTCCTGCAAAATAATTTTGCTGACTTGGTCCATAAGCACTTTTTCGAGGCTACATATGTACGGATTACACCAAAAATTGGATTGCATGACCAATTGGACTTTGTTCATATACAGTAAAATATATGTGTTCTCTCAAACTCCTTAAATTTTTAAGGTTTTGTTGTTTTATTCCATTGTTTTTTCTTCATCTTACAACGTATGTATCCACCGTTCCCAAACTCATTAGTTAATAGCCACATGCATCACATACATACTACATATCATACAAACTCCATCCTCATATCATGATTACGATATGTTTGGCATTATTTTAGTTAGTTACGTTTGCCAACATCATCATCACCATCCAGGCAAAAAGTCTCATGCAGAGAATAATTTTTGTATATACGACGGCTCACATAATTCACATCACAATAAAAATACACAACCTTTTTCCTTACCTGGATGTGCTGATGATAAGGCCGAAAGCATATAAAGAAGTGCATTTACAATCCACTCACAGAACTATATGCATCCATAATACCACCCCGTGTTTTATGTTGTTTTCGTCATTCGTACTTTTGACTTTGGGTTTAAAGCGTTTGAATGTGTAGCAATAATAATACGGCACAAAAAAACACATTGCAAACCGCATTATTGAGCAAAGCCACATCTGCACCATGTATTCCAACAACTTTGGTTTTAACAGGGGCAAATCGTGGCATGGCTCGAGTCCTCCTTTCAACACGGCAAAGCATATATGGCAAACATGTTACTAGGTTAGTAAAAGCAAGCCCGTAGTTTTGCCAACTTACGTATCTCCCCTGTATTTCAGAGGTCTGGAGTAGCTCCAAAGTGGCGTACATTCATTTTTTCTGGGGGAAAAGCGTATCCACAATATATTTTAGTCACGATGGAGAAAGGCTTTCGAGCCCTTGGAACAATTTTCTAATTGAGAAGTACTCTTAATTCGGGCCGAGAGAATAATGAGATTTCTGGCTAAAATGTAACCCTTTTTTGCATAGCAGACTGGAGGAGATGCTTTATCTCTGCCTTGGCTGAAAAGTACGGCACTTCTCACGAGGAGAACTGACTACAGAGCTTACGCTTGCATACAAAAAGTATGGGCGAATTTGTCCAAGTTCTCATTCGACTAGAGGGTGAGGCTCCAGCAAGACCATCGTCACTGGTTGAGAGTACATGTGCTTTTACTTACCCTATTTGTATACAAGACGATAACCACCTACTACTACCTGTATAAAATACATAGCTAAATTTTCGTAATTATTTTTCTTACTCATCTACAACCGCCGTTTAGATTTTAATAAGCCAAGAAAATACAAATTAACCTAATCAGCATTATTTGCAATATCTCATTTTTTTAATTACACTTCTTCTCGACTGGATAAAATACTTATTATTATTATTATCTGCGATATATAAAGTATACAACTTTTTTTAGTTTTTTAAAACTTAACCCCGTTAATAATTGGAGAGATAATCTGAGTAGTCGTCTGTATCACGAGTGGACAGCCAGCTACCAAAAAAAGAATCGACCCACACCGATTTCTTCTGGAGATAAAAAAGGTAAGACTTTCACTTCCTCACTTTCACCACGGTGTTTTAAGTACGGCATGCATCTCGTCCACCCGGGTACTTTTGCATGCCTCGGCTGCATGGATTTTTTTATTAGCATTATTCCGATCATGTGAGACTACATACGTAGGGGTCCAGATGAGATTATTGTTATTTGTTCATTCACATCTCTGTACCGACACACCTCCATCCGAATGATTCAAGTTTGCCCATAATTTATCTATATTTTTAGCCAGAGTAATTTACGCGTTGTTGCTGCTCCTAAAAAACATGATACGGTTTATCGAAATACAATAAGTTTACGGGGCGTTTTCCAACATTCACATTCGCACACTGCTGCCATGCTGGTGGTACTCGTTATATTATTGCTGTTCAAGTTTTGTGGTCTTTTGGTTAAACCGTGTAAGCTGCTGATGTTGCTGCTGCTGAATTTCCATCCATCCAGCATTGCGGTTGGTTTTGGTGGTATGGGATGGTGCTCAGTCTCCCATTGCTAAATCGAACCGAGCACGTTGCACTGCATATGGTCTAGAATTAATTGTATTGTGTGTGTGTAATAATAATGACAGCTAGTAGTAGTAGAGGACAAGTAGGCTTTCGTATTATCATTGGGAAAGCGTATGCAAGTCGAGCTATGTGCATGAAATGGACAGTTTCATAAACGACGATGCGTGCGGTTTTGGCAGTGTCAATATCTTTCTTCTCGTTTTTTTTGTGCAGGTAGTAAAAGTTCCGTCCGTGGCGTTAATGTGCATATGACGGGATATTTACCTATGTATGTATACCTACCCATAGGCGATAGATAGTGCTGGTATGCTGATCAATACCATGTTTCCCGGTTGGCTCTATATGGAATGTAGTCAATATTTATTAGGAATACCGACATGTCTAAATCCAAAACTATTTAGTGGGAAGAAGGACGCAACACAAGAGAGAGCCGGTCTTTCTTCCCTTGAGATGAGAGAAAGCATGTTTTATTTATATAATTTTCTCCTTCTATGAGAACCTAATATCGCACTTATTCCACCATAACGGCCACGACGATGTCGACTGACTTTTACCGACCGACCAACCACTTGCTTCACGCTTTCTCCTCTGGTAGATTTAATTCATTGTATTTTGTTTTTCTGGAGAAATCGATGATCCTCAAGCAGCCTACTTGGTCTGCTCCATACATAGGCCGACACGCACTACCTTTATTAACTCTGAAATTGCGATATGTTGCATGCACACGAGCCGAGAGTCGTCAAGTTAAGTAAAGTAAAGTACATGGTAATAGTTTTATGCGGTAGATGTACATACGTTTACGTAGCGGTGCTGGTTAGAGTTTCGTTTTCGTGAATAATATCTGATTCTACGAGAAAGAGAGCAACTTCTTGACTTTGGTAGCTCCCTTGTTGTTGTATTTTTGTCACTTTTTTTACATCAGATAGGAGAAATAAGTGCGAGCAAAAATAACAACCTCCGAGCGAGTAGTGGTGGTGTAACATAATGTAATGTATGTAGCTCTCTCTCTCTCAGAATGAATCTGGAATTTGGCAATATTCATCCATCCCAATTCTGTAATGTTCTTCTTGAAAAGTCCTATTTTTCTCCTCACAAGCAAAAGACCGAATTTGCATATGAATACCACGCTTTACGTCACTTCCTAAATAATAATGCTATGTATAGCCAGCCGACCGACCCGTGCAACTCCCTTTCGTTTCCTATTTCATCCATTCCCAAGCAAATCATTAATATTAATCGGTGTTCATGTTGTTTCACAATCCGATAATGGAGAGACTCGAGCCACCTCTTTGTGTGATGTGAGATGCTTCGTAAGATATGGAGAAACCATAACGCAACTTTCCTTTTACCAACCAACCACCAACCAACCTGTGACCTGCAACATTTAGTCTCACATTTTGGGGTGGTTGCTTAATTAACTAAAAAGATGGAATATTACGGTGTTTGTAGACGGATAGTGGGTTGGTTGGTTGGTTGGTGTGGGTTATTTATTTGTCTCCAATTGCGCTTTCTCTCTCTCTCTTGTACGGTTTCCTTCCCCAGGCTTTCTCCACTTGCACAACACAACAAACTGTAATTGTTGTACGTACGTATGCGTGTATGTACTTTGCTAATTCCTTTCATCTCCTCGTCGTCGTAACGGCTCAGACCATATTTCATCAGTGCAATTCACTCACTCAGCGAGTCTATTATCCACTCTATGGTTGCAATTTTCGGTAAAGTTGCCTCCCTCCTCTGAAATTTGAAACTTTGTGTCGGACGACAATAATAGTGCATGCTTATTATTGTCGTGTGTGTCATCATTCCGAATTCCATTCCTGTCCCGATAAATAAATAGTCTGGGCCTGCCGCAACGTAGGTACGTGTGTTATTTGGCCGCATTACGCAGCAGTCAGTCGGTATAAAGGACACAGCCATCCAGCTCTATTTATTTTTCTCTCTCTCTTCTTTGTACCTATGCCTTTTTATACCTGAACTGAAACTCGGCTGAGTTTTAAGTTGGGGTAGGCATTCATGTTTTTCTTGCAGATTTTCTTGTGATGCTGCGAAAAGTAGTAGTAGAGAAACTCGTCAAACCGGTAATAATAATTCCAACTTCTTGTAAAAATCCTTCTCCTGGATGGATGCAAATTATAGCAGGACTCGTACATGAATGCTCACTTTGAGCTTTAATAATTAAAAATCTTTTCCTACAAGAAGAAGAAAAATTGTGTAATCTCATATATACTTTGTGCTGTTATCGTAGATAGTACGACGTCATTGTTGTGGTGTGGGTTAGGTTAGAAATCTGAGTTTTAATACATTTTTTTTCTTCTTCTTCTTCTCGGTAAAGTTGGCTGGTTGGTCTCATGAAATAAATAGTAACTTTTTGTCTCGTCACATCTTCTCCACTTTTTAGCTCTCTTTGATAAGTACGTGGAAAGTTTTAGCCCATCCTGCATCTCATCATCTCACTACTCCAGTAGTCCATTCCATCCACTTAAAACAACGGTCTGCAAATAAGCATATATTGCAAAACTTTATATGTACGTACACATCTTAACCACTGCATATCCAGTTTTACGTGGTGTTGAGTGAGGTTGTTTTGCTGCTAGTGCTGTCAAAATGCATGCACCAATGTTTGGCCAGTAGATAAATAAATTAAAAAACAGAAATGAAGTGCGAATAAAAAGTGGACTCTTCTTCTTCTCTCTCTCTCCTGTTGTGTCCCTGTCCAATATCTTCTTCACTCACATACAAAACAACTGGACGGACGTAAGTGGAATGGATACATGGACATGTAATATGGATGAGTTGATGCTCATGTAAACGTGGGCAGTAGTTTAGTTTAGTTAGTTGTTGTTCTGGTGGTTCCAACCAAGCAATGGTGATTTATTATAGGCCTATCTATTCTGTAATAAATGACAATAATATGATTTGATTAAATTGTGATGATGATCATGATACTGCGAAACTACACCTTCTGCCATACATACTTGTGCAACTTTGTTGGGTTGGTTTAGTTCACAGTATGGCAAAAAATAGTACATCGCCGCTGCTGCTTAAAGTCCACGCGAGCCAAAGCAAGCGCCAGTAAAGTGCGGAGAGAGAAAAGAGTGTGGGATGGGATACAAAGCCCTTGACGAATTCACAAGGTCAGCTCTCATATATTCACATTTATCCAGTGCTGGAGCTTCTCTGGAGAAGAGAGAAACTCAAACTCACTGCCATTTACTTACTCTCTCTTGTAAAGCAAATAGATGATGATGATGAGCAGGCTTTTTCCAACAGTTTGTGCCCATGCATCAAGTAGGCTTAGGATGGAGGAGAGGTTTTGTGAATTGCAAAAATTCTGCCTCCAGCTAACCCAAGCAGTGATGCAGTGGGAGAGAGATCTCTTCTCTGCAGATTTTCAATTTATTTAAATACCCACAGAATAAAACGTATGTACGTGAATGGGATGAATTGAATGTCAACTTGGGCGTATGTACAATATTCATCCTGCGGACATGGCATAAGTTGCCATCCATGAGGTGAGGGCAGAGATGACATTTGACATTCTGAAAAGCAACACATTTTCTATTGTGCTCTCTCTCTCTCCTCAGTAATAATTTGATTAGGGGGGCGAAGGAGGTGACTCCCTTGGTTCGTGATGAAAGAGCAATTTCCAATCGTTTCGTCCCGACGACAGATAACGTAACGTTTGATGATTTTGATTTCTTGAATAGTGAAATCTCCAGCAGGCGTGGGACTAATAATAGAACGAGATAAGGCTGATGCATGTACGCTAAATTGAATGTGGGTGGAACTCGTTGGGAGAGAAGGTGCAAATTGACAGAAATGCAATTTCAGTGAGATTGTAAACATGGGAGAAGGTGTAAAGTGGGTGGTTTGGTGAAGCTCTCTTCCAGTGCTTGATTTATTTTTTGTATTTTTAATCTGCCTACAAATAATGATTTAGTAGTCGAATCACGCCATGTCTCTAATTGTATTTAAGAATGTCTGCTACTGCTTATCTGTTTTTTTGTCATCATCACAAACCGAGTGGATTAAAATTATCTGACACGAAAATACTTTGCTTCGTACATACATCTATTGAATAACCTCTGTGCGATTTATCTCAGAAATTACCTAGTCATTCGTTCATACGTATTATGCAATATCCAGCATCTTGTGCCACCGCCACGGCATTTATTCCGCTGGCAGAAAGACATAAAGGAAAGATGAGAGAGAGATTTAACTATTCTGTTTAATGTGATGCTCTTGAATTTTCAATCTCTCACATTAAAGTGCAAATTAGCCAGGTTTACGTACTTACTTCCAACGCTTGGTTGGTATTGTAGTAATAAATATGCGAAGAGGATATGGAGGACGTAAACACAATTTACAACTTGGCTGGCTACCTACCTACCTAAAGGTGTAGATAGGTAATATGCAGCCCTATATGCGTGTGCAGTATAAGGCTAAGGCAGTAAAATGAGGCTTATGCATAAGGACAAATGGAA